TGGTCATGGAAAGTTGGGAAAATGTCTTCTACCTGACTTTATCAATGTGCATGATATATTATGTCAATACCCCATTGACAATTTGAATAATGTGAAACACTTCCTGAAGTGTTATAAGCACAGCATCGATTGTTTCTTTTGTCGCTTGAAACAGATCAATGAGTTGAAGGTGATTAGAAATAACCTGTTTATTTCTCTATATCCTTCGCTATGTGGCGATCGAACGAAAAACCAACAACGTTTTTGTTTGGTTTTGAACCCGGGTCTCCGGATTACTAGACCAGCGCACAATCCTCTGCGCTACGATCGCCACACAACTAATAACGTCATGTTTCATTTACTTAAGGAAAAGTCTCATATTATGAGATAGGATCCTAATATGGGATAACGGGGTTTCTATTAGATTGATAGGCATCATCAGTTGATTCCACCATGAATTCATTGCCCTTGGAGCGAAATCTGGTTAGTGGAAAGTTCATTGTTAGATTGTGTAATCCCTACGAAAAGAGATTTGTGATTGAAAAACCTGTTATCTCGTATTAGAAATCTATCTCACAATAGAGGACTTTCTTCTATTAATAAGTAAATTAATTAGCAACGTCAGTGCTTTCTTGACCATACCTGGCATCTTTAATAATACAGAGAATTTATTGCGAAAAATACAATATTACCTCAGCCAGGGTTTGAACCTCTGAAGTGTTGTAAGCACAGCATCGATTGTTACTTTTGTCGCTTGAAACAGATCAATGAGTTGAAGGTGATTAGAAATAACCATCATTATCCCCCTCTACACTCTAGGCGGGCGTCTCACCTCGGTGGTCGAATTGGTGAGAATTGGCGAGACGCCCGCCTAGACTGTAGGGAGGTCTAGGTTCAAACTCTGGCTGAGGTAATATTGTATTTTTCGCAATATTCTCTGTATTGTTAAAGATGCCACGTATCAAGAAAACACTGACGTTATTAATTACCGCTGGCAACATTGAAGAATTCTGACTAGTAAATTAATTCGGTTAATTAAAAATTATTGTTTTCAGAATTTATCGTCGAAGATTCAAAACAGCTGCGTGTATCACAATGAAGATGTTACTTTAGTCGAATTGACAATGTACAACGTGAAAGATGTCTGCACTTACGACACTTATGATGTAGCAATATGTTTGCATTATTACTCTGACGAAACAAGACCTTATAAACTGTATACTAGTACGAATGATGTGGTAGCAAGGTCGCTATCTTTTTATAGAAGATTGAATACGTACTTCGTGCCGTTCTTGAAGAAGGATTTGAGTCCAGCATTTATGCAGATCATAAACTCGTACGGTGAATTTATTTGGCAGAAAGTTATGACGGCTAACGAAGACGACACCGAGGTATATGAGTACGAGGAGAAGGTATGTGAGAATGAAGAGGATGATGGATATGTGGATCAGTTTCTTTGCCGGCGAGACAGAAGCCTGAAGCTGCGCGCAAGTGAGGTGCAACTCAGGATTTCGTCAGATAAAATTGAAATGGAAGTTGACAGTGTTGAAAGAGACGGACGTAGAGATAAAATATCCGGGAGGAGTACAACGAGAAAAGAATGAAGAAACGAAATTGTGTAATAAAGTCACGCGGCTTGAAAGAGTAGCGCAGGTACTTAAAAACATCTATCGTGTGTGTAATATACGTTATTGTCAATAGCACGCCAACAGTAAAAGACAACGGCGATCAATTTTATTACTTTTATTTGTATATTTAAACATTTATTTAGCTACAACTATGTCGCAAATGTTAATGTGATATTGGCGAGTAAGAGTTTATGCGGTACATATGCTAGTATCAATTGTATTGAATTAACAATATTCTCCGAGAGACAGTAGGTGAAATTTAATGTTAATAGATGAATATCACTCAAGCAAATGCCTAGCGAGAAATGTTGGTTGCAAAGATGTTAAATCGATGTCAAATCGACACCAAACGCGTCGACTAGATGTCGATTTGATGTCGATCGACATCTTTTCAGTCAATCGTTTTCTCACTGGGTATGATGCATTAGATACAAAAATAACATTTATACAATAATAAAATGACATGCACTTAGTTACATATACAAAGGATTATGTGATAACAAAATTGATTTATATTTGACGCATAATACGTATAATCCACGAACGTAGACGCTCGTAAAGTGTTAATTTCTTCGATTTCCTTTGTTTCTTTGCCAAAGTCAGAAATACCTCGTCCATCGATGGTTGAGCGACCGAAAAGTCTGTGATCCACACATATCTCTGCCGTAACTTTTCGAGTTTATCAAACACGTAACTGTATGAAATGCCACTCTCCAATTCGTATTTAAGAACACCCTGCCGCGACGTAAAAATAAATTATGTATTTTGTATAACCTTAGTTTTTACTTTGTATCTTGGTAATAAAATCTCTCAAGCGCGTTTGACTTATCCAAATTGTCGAGCGGTAAATCAAATCGAAATGTAAAACTATGCTCCGCTTACCAAATAACTATCTTTGAATTTTATTGCTGGAAAAGTTTCATCGATGATTTTCTTGATCCTTTCGAGAGTCGCAAGTTGGTATCCCGGCACCACCTTAATGTTCAATATAAAATTACGGCCGTACTTGGCCTTTAGCTGCTCGCAAGATCCGATCGCGGTAAACTGGCCGTTAACCACAATACCAACGCGCAAACACACCGCTTCTGCTTCTTGCATGCTGAAATTCACAAAATCGAATCTAACGTACATGTATTTTGTTTATGAAGTCTGGGAACTAACCTGTGCGTAGTGATTAACACAGTCCTCCCCATCTCCCGTATCTGATGCAAAATTTCGCAGATTGCGTGTCTAGTCATTATGTCGACTCCAGCGGAAGGCTCGTCCATGAATATCATCGGCAAATCACCGACAAAACTTTGCAGTATACAAAGTTTTCTTTTAACTCCCCAGGGATAGTGGGCGATTTTCAGATTCTCAAAGTCCAACATGTCTAGAAATTGAATTTTATCATTCAATGAAAAATTACTTATAAATTATATTATAATTTATGTAAGTTATTAACGTAATTATTATACCATAATAATTACATTAATAAATATTGCAGCATTTTTTAACAAAGCGAGCAACTTTCAATTTTTAATTTGTATATTTTTACCTAATACATCTAGCCATTTGTTTACTTCGTCGTTGATGTGCTTGTATGGAATACCGCGAAGTGCCGCGTGAAGCTGCAAGTATTGTCTTCCCGTCATAAAATCGCTCAGTCCATTCATTTGTGGACAGTATCCTATCATACCTAGAAACTTGATGATATTTTTATACAATGGGAATTAACGTCCCGCCAATGGCTATATAATGTTACTTAGAAAATAAAATAGAAAGCTTATTTTTAGTCAAATGCCGAAGTTACGTAATCTGACAACAAAAGTTATGTGTCCCTTGATAAATGTCCAAGTGCTGATAACTTTGTCACTTTAATTTTCTCCAGAAATAATAAGATGACTCACCATCCTTTGATTTTTCGTGAACTCATACTCATACATCACTGCTTTTCCAGCCGACATTTTAGTTTGACTCACCAGCATTTTGTATATCGTCGACTTTCCCGCGCCGTTAAATCCTAACAAGCCAAAACACTCTTGATTGTAGACCTGGGTAGAAAATCTTTAATACTGCATTATGCATGTAGCAAGAAGAACAATGTGTAGCAACTAATCTCTCACACTAAAATTGATTCCTCGAACCACTGCTTCTCCAAAATATTGTTTCCTCAAATTTTGGACAGCGAGAGCAACTCGCGGTGGAAGCGATTTTGTTTCATCATAGTCTACACGTGCGGAAAGAGACACAATATTTTGCAACAAAGTTCAAACTTATTAATAATAAAAAACTTACGTTAAAGAATATTTTTTAATAAAGCGCAGTATAAATAGAGTTAATGTTTAATTTTTACATTTTATATATTCATTGACTCGCTTCTTTTCCTCCATGACTTCCGATTCAAGAATATCATCGTCTTTCGTGGCGGGCACAAAATAACTGTACCACTTTCTACGATTTTTTTCTTCAAACACTTCCAGCAATATGTAAAGAGCGAACATTTGGGATACCATTAATAGTATGTCGTCTATAACCGAGTGACAATACTCAGAGCCGGATTGTTTAATCAGCATTACATCCAGTTGCTTGTAACAACCTTTGCCTTCACAATTTTCTGAAATGTCAGATCAATGTTGTGTAGCGGAAATAATAATTTGTTATAATAATAATAAATTTTATGAGCTTACGACAACAAGGATCTTCAATATAAAATTCTGTATCGCAGGTATTAAAGTAGCTACATTGTCTGTTATATAAATTCAGCATAATGTAATTGCTTAAACCACAAGCTAGAATGTATGGTGGAAATATATGTACAAGAGCTTCGAACACGTATCTTCCGCTACTGCTAAGTACGCGAAATACCAACGGAAATATAATAGAGCCGTTCACCAGTAACACTGTAAAATGTATTCTACATTTAAATAAAGATGTTTTTGTGATAGGCAATTAAATTAGATGTCATTGTTTAACACTAAAATTTATAAACTGCAATGTAAAGTTGAGTTACTGACTGGCCGCGATATTGATCAATATCACGATTAGGTACGCATTTTCCTGCTTCCTCGTGAAAAGTTGTATGCAATAACCTAATGGAATGGCGCACCCTCCGTAACATAAGAATATCATTGACACTTGAACTGAAACGAGATCGATCATAATTAAATTTGAACTTTTAATTTCTTAATACATAACATTTTTGTTTTATGACGACACACTGCTCTGTCATCGCAAAATTCACGGAGAGATATTTAAAAAAAACACACGTTGACCTTTTTTTACATAAGTTTTAAAATACAAAGAATGAAAATTTTTTAACTGAAACATTAGTAGAAGTGAATATTTCGCGTATCTCCAAACTCTTACCAATCTCCAGAGCCGAGAAGGGCAACGTGCGACGATAGACGCTTAAGATAGCAATTCCGAAGAGCATTATGGAGAGCGCATATAAAAGGAAATCAATAATATACATGGGGATCCAGTAGGTTCGTGTAGATACACCTATCGCATTAGTCTGCAGCATTTTTGAGCGTGTATTTCGTTCTCGAATTCCCATGTCGATGGAGGGTAGAAGAAGGAACAAAGTTATTACTATTGCGGCGGTTTCCCAGTTTCGTATACTGCGCGGGTGGACCAATAAATGTTGCCACTGTAAACATCATAAGCCTTAATTTTTAAAGCCGCGAGCTGCGAAGAACGCAAAATGTTTACATTTTCGTACTTGAAAATAATTTTTATAATACATTGTGGCGTAAACATTTTATGGAATATTCAGAAATGCCCCTTTGTCTAAAGTTTTAGTTTGATTTCTTACACAATATTCTATAGAAATAATCCTTTAGTACAAAAGTGAGCGAGTCGGAAAATAATGGAAAATAGCTTCACTGTTTTCAGAATCAGTACAATTTAATTCATTAATTCATATCACCTGCCCCGGATGAATTAACGGGCGGCTAGTCAGTTTGATCCAGCAATTGTCTGAGCCGCAATGGTAACGCAGTAACGCGTTGTGTAGTAAGTTTAATGCGATTGGGCCGCTGTGTACTGCAGTGGACGAATACATAAGTTGCACATGTCCGTCCGCGTGCATGTCGATGGACATCACGTAACGATCCCTAAACTATAAAAAATTGATTAGCTGCCAGATTTTAAGACGACATCTTCTGCGATACCTCTATCGAGTGCAAGTCAGGATGGACCATGAGATCCGTGGCTGGGATATTTTTGGAAATGTGATAATTATGCCTCTCGCTGTATGCTTGACCAGTGATGTACAATGTGATAAGAAAGTCTTTCACGGGCTTGTCATCAGCTGCGTAATACAACACGTGAAAATTGTTGTCCATATAACTCGTCAGATTCATTATCTTCTCGCTACAGAAATAATTACGTCCAATTTAATTTTTTTACTTTGCTTTCGTAAAGTTATTTTTTATGCATATAATACGCGTATATAATATAATATAATAATAACACGCGTATATCACTTAGTTAATGCATGTATTCGTAATGTTTTGTACATCGCGAAACGACGCGATGCAGTGAATTATTTGTTGAGATAAAGAAGCAAAAGACCTTCGGACTTAAGAATTAAATGCCAGAATATTTTTTATAATCTTTTAGTACAATATCAGTGTGTTGAAAGCATAATTGCATTTTAACAATGTAGTGGAAGGTAGTGTGGCTGTTATAGAATAATATGACAAACATTATGTGTTAATTTGTATATTTACATGAAGAGTAATTGCTCTTTTTTATCGTAAGACAAGCAAGATTAACTTACGTCGTGTCGAAGAGGGCGAAATTGCCTAATTCGGCGATCATAGTGGTCACGGTAAGAGTAACAATCGCCAAGGTTATCTAAAGTGGCTTTAATTATTTACAATAATATCTACCTTGCTTTTGATAGAACGGAAAACTTACCGAAAACACGTATATTTTCCAGGAGGAAGCAACGTGTAATAATTTCTTGCAAAACATTGCAAGAACTTGCTGCCGCCGTAAAGCATTGCCGGTCAATCGCTTCCAAGGTACAGCTAATAATTAATATTTCAGGTTGATGTGTGTATTCACGGTATTCATATTAATAAATTATATAATATTATATGCATTTGGATTATTTTACAGGATTTATTATGGACCAATTCGAATTATTGGTATTATATATTTATTGTTATTTATATTTTACAACTCGACAGATAGCTAAAAACTTTACCTGTTTGCAACAAGTGCCGTCGCCGTTGTTGCACAATAAGCTCGTACTTGTTGCTGGGTAATTTCACACTACGTTCTTTAAATTGGCTTTCTAAACCTATTCTAAATACAGAGTAATTAGCGTTGATATCAGTTGATCATTTCTATTTTCCTATAATTAAAACTTAACAGCAAAATAATCTTTCTTACAATGATACACATTTTATAAAATATTCATTTGAGTTTTGACATTTAAATATAAGCAAGAGTTCACGAATAATCTCAAATTGAAGGTAAACGTTGGAAAGAAATGCGATTTTACCTGAGAAGTTGACCCTCGATACTGGCAGCACTCAATGCAATGGACACGATTTTCAGTTCTTCTTTATTGGATTCTAAATGTTGTAGCAATTTAGTGAATCGACTATTTCTCGGCACGCTGAATCTTATTACTAAACCCATCATGCTTCGCAGAGTAATCGGATCTGCTGAAAATTCTTGGATCTCCTTATGAATTCTCTCTACACTGCAATCCTCTTGTATCAATAAACTTAGTACATAACCGATACCTAGTTCCAATTAATTTTAGAAGAAGTTGACTAACTAGCAGCCAAAAAGTTTAGTTTTAACTTTATTCTTTAAAATTTCTTTTGTCAATAAGTTATTCAATCTTACCATATCGTCGATTCAAATACATCTTCGAACCGTAACATTCGACCCTTCCGTTTGCGATAATAGCGATTCTGTCGGCAAGAAAATCAGCAGCTTCCATGGAATTCGTTGCCATTATTATCGTCTTATGTCTTTTTATATCCTGCAAAGTGTTAATGCATATATTATTTTATACATTTCTCTACTTCAAATGTACGTAATCTGCTTATAGGAAACTACTCACCAAAAGTAAATCCCATATCTGTCTTTTGTGTTCGGGGTCGATACAGTACGTAGGTTCATCGAGGATGAGAATCTGCCCAAATAAATATTTTTTTAGCGATTTACATAATATTGCTTTAATGGAGCTATTGCCACCAATTTTATTAATTAGTTTATTAATTACAAAGTTTAATTCATCCTTGGATTTATTATAATTAAATGGTCAAATGTACAAATAAAATAACACCTTAGTGTTGCCGATAAGTGCCATTGCTAAACAAATTCTTCTTTGCGTATCAAAAGAGCAAGATTTCACTTTTGTATCTTTTACGTATTCTAAATCGAGCTGCTTCAACAGTTTTAGTGATTCCCTATAAGCATCCTCATAAGTCATTCCTTTCATCTGAAATAAGAATTGCATTATCGGACAAACTTTAAATACTTTTAAATTCGATAACTCTATCAATAAGTTTTGCTTATGTACATACATGTTATACTTGTATCGATAGTACCGAATAGCTTAGACTGAACTATTTATTTAATAATCAAAAAGCCATTTGGACTGATGGAAAAATAAGTAATATTAAATTAATTTTTCAAAAGAAAAGTTTGTTTAATTAACAACAACAAACAGAATTGCCGTTGATAAATTTTGGTATCTTCTGCATGTTACGATCCTCTTACGACAATTTGAATATTAATATATAATTTAATTAATATATTATAATATATAAACTAATCCTAACATGTAAAAATATTAACTAATGAGAATATTCTTAAAAGTCGCCAGCCATTCGACCACAAAGACTTCGGTGGTCGAATTGGTTGAGACGCCCGCCTAGAGAGAAGGGAAATTCAGGTTCAAACCGTGGATGAAGTAATATTTTTCGCAACAAATTTTCTTTATTATTAAAATTACCAGATACGGTCAATAAAAATCACTGATGTAAAAATATGTTGCGCCACAGTTAGTTAATCTAATAGTAGCATAATAGTGGCATAAATTATTATATTTTTTTCTATATCTTGTTTGAGTGGGTCAGAATTATTAACAGGCAGCCTAAGAGAGAGACAAGCTACTTGCTCACCAGTATTAAATTAGGCAATTAGAAACATAGTGAACAAACTGGTTCTTATTGAGATCAGTATGGTGCTAAATTTTAATACTTTTTAATATTTGTAAATTTAGTCTATGTTGCACGCGCTGTTGATTGTTCATTTTTACACGTTTCCACAAAAAATTGTAATCCTTAACGAAAAGAATGTATGTATGTACATACATAAACAATCTATATTAATTGACATTTTATATGTTAACTGTTTTGATGATAATATTACAAAAAGTATTTTTACTTTAGACTGAAAACATTTAATTCGCCACTGTTATTTTTTAAAATAATTATTTACCATGCCAAACATATAGAGATGTTGTATCGTTGTCAAGTAATGCACCAATATATTTTCCTGCGGGCAGTAACCAATCGGATATGGTGAATCTTTGTTCTCCAAGTAAACGTAGCCACGAGTCGGTTTGTACATTCCTGCCACATATCATAATTTCATTAATAACTGACTGGCAAAAGACGGCAATGAATTAATTTGCTATTATACCAATAATTATCTTTAACAAACAGCTTTTGCCGGATCCATTGTGACCCAAAATGACGCTGAATTCTTGATGATAAAAGTCAATTGTTACATTGTTTACAGCTGTTAGACGTTCGCCGATCTTGCCGAATTCTTTTTGGACACATCTCACACGAATTGACGACTATTGTTCATAAATCAATTATACAAATATAAACATAAATACATGTATTTACAATACACAATTTTTAATTGTCTATCCACTTTTTTATTTGAAATTTTAGAAAAAAATACTTGAAACAATTTTTGACTAAAGTATTTGTTTCACAATTAAAATGAGACACTACTTTAACATGATAATTTAATGTGTGATTTTGTATTCACAGAGTAGTAAAGAAGCAATGTGTAAGACATTAATTTGTAACGCAAATTCGAAAATGACATTGGAAAGATAATAAGAATACATAATAGTATAAAAATAGAGGAAAGGCTCCTGATATGAGATAGTGAAGTTCCTGCTAAATTAATAGGCGTCATCTGTTGGTTCCACCATGAATTTAGTACCCTTGGAGTGGAATTTATTTAGTGGAAAAATGATTGTTAGATCGTGTAATCGTTATAAAAAAGATTTGTCATTGAATTTGGACGTTGAATACTATCTCACATTGGAAGCCTATCTCATAATAGAGTACTTCCTTCTCTACTAATAATAGAATTTCAGGGTTGGAAAGTAACGCGCTAGTTGTAATGCCGTTACCGTTTTCGTTACTCTGTTTCGGTAACGATCGTTACTTTTTCAGTTTTAAGTTTTAATATTGATTATTAAATAATAATAATGTAATTTTATAATCTAACATCTTACTTTAGCATTTCAAAAAGGTAACGAAAAAAGTAACGAATCGTTACTTTCTAAGTAACAGTAACGGTAACGCGTTACTTTTTAAGGTAACGTTCCCAACCCCAGGAGAATTTTACTTTGAATTGCGTGTACTTGAAAACCATAGTGCGTGTCATATGTACCTTTATGTATGATGGTGTATGCTCTACTGCCGACCAATTAGTTGATCCTCGGATCGTTAAATCGTCATTGTCAAATATAGGTTTCTATGCAATGTATTTGTGTTTACAAAATTTATAAGAGATACATACGAATGTATACTCTCTTTTTCAATAAAACTCGTTTATTTAAAAGGAGAGGATAAATTCGAATATCAGAAAAAATACTACCACGCTCAAATATCAGTTATGTGCATAAGGCAACTTAAAAGAAAAAAAACATTATTGTATCTATTGTTATTTCGTAATTATAAACCTCTTTGATTTACTTTGCATAAGTAATACCAGGGCTTTGCGCTGCCAAATTTCCCCGGGTTAACATTGTCCAAGTATACCGCCAGTAGATACCAGAAAATAATATGCAACATCCATGCAAATAGAATTGTGCCAATCGGAACTTTCTCTGCGACGTGAATGATATCATGGGCGTTTCGTAGCGTTATCAGTTCAGAAAGCCATTGTGGCCACAAGTATGAGATAGGGCCAATGTAATCGCGCGGTTTCGTCTTTTGCCAGATATTTTTTAAATCCTCGCTTTCATAATCACCTATCAGTATAAAAGCCACAATAACCTCGTGTATCCTGAATATTTTAAGGATATTACACTTCTGATATCTTTCTTCTGATATCTCTTTTTAACAAATTATTGTTTACATTTTTATTATTTGGTTTGTATTTAAATAATTGTTTATTATTTAACTTTTCCTCAAAATAAATTTTTTAAACTTGTCTAGTCAAAATAGGAAAAGTATGATAAAAAAATGAAAAATCTAAATATGAGTTTACAGTAATAGTATAAAAAAAAGTAAAGACAGATTTATGGAGGTCGTGTTCATTAGTAATTAATAATTTGCCGGAACTGGTATAGAAAAAATGTTTTATTTATCACATTGCCTATTCTGTAATACGTAAAATCCGATTTCACTAAAATATAGGTATCTCATATTGATATAAAATCAGATATCATATTTCAGATGAAATAATCTCATGACTTTTTAAAATCTGAAAGACATCTCTCAGATATCCAAGTGATATCTGAATAGTTTTTTCTATCAGATATTGCAATATTTATATACTTTCCACATATCTTTGTAACATTTTTTTGCTGTGTGGGAACATTTACCTCTCGTACATATTATTCCTTATTTACACGACACATGTACACGTGTTTAATCAATTAATTTGTGAGGTATTTTAAATAAATGGTAAGAGAAGGGGCTCAGAGCCAGAACAAGATTGTGGTGTCCAAACAACTTTTTAATTAATTAAATGCATATACATATACGTTTCGGTCCTTATTGGACCGTCTTCAGTATAAAAAGGAAGAATAAATACAATTTATGTTTTAAATAAGTTCTTAAACTGTATAGATTACAAAGCTATATTAAATTTGTATTATATAATTATGAATGCAAATAGTATATTCCTCTGGTACGTGGTAAATGCACGATTTTAATGAAATATAAATTGCTAGATGAAAGATACCGTCGGCTTATGATCGGTAGATCTGTGCTCTAAATATTGTGCTAAACTGGCTCGGATGATAATATATACGCTCGAATAACTTGCTTGAATAATGAGCAATACATGGTATGCGACCCATATAAGACTTCCTTGTTTTGCAATACATATTCGCTATTAATTTACACTTAAATTTACATAACGCTATTAATGTATGCTATTAATATACACTATAATAAAAAGAATGTATTTTGAAATGCATGCGAATGAAAGTTTATCTCTTTATTCGATTTGAATGAGCATCACGTATGAAAATTTATGTAAGCGATTACGAATCAATAATGTACGTATATGAATGATATTTTGATCGCGCCGTTAAAAAATAATCACGTTATTTAGATTAAACTGAAATAACGGGCTGACTCACCGAAATCCGTGCGGATCGTGAAAGCGATTATTCCATACAGCAAACCGTTATGCGGCAGAATCAGTGAACTGATCTTCCACAGGACAGATTCTCTTACCAGGAATTGATCCAGAACGAGTGTCAAGTGTCCCAAGATAAGCCAGAAGAAAACCGACGTGAGCAATGCTTTTGTAGCTACGACAAAATGACTTGTAATTATAAGAGGATCGGGAGTTTCAGTGGCAAGAATCGCATTTTCTGACAGACTAATAAATAAATAAAAACACACACTTTAATACGGCGAGAGCATCGGACAAAGTTACTAACAAAGCTCGTATTGTTTTCTCACGCATGCATTTGCATTCATTCATACTGCGCGCTCTCGTTTTTACTCGCATTGCTATAGTTACGTACAATGGTCGAAAAATGTGCCGACGGTGAACATGAAGAGTACTGAGAGTATATTGTACATTATAATAAATATAGCGGTGGCGAGCGCGTTTATGGCCGAAAACACGGGGGACAGAAGGATTGTGCATGCAACCGTCAGAGGTAACAGGGTGATCATAAGGTAATTAAGCCATCCAACGTACAACATGGCGAAAGATATGTTTGTTAATCTCATAAGACCCTGGAATAAGATGAGAAATTGTATTGGACGAAAACAAAATAAATTGTGTTCCGCAGAAACACTCACTCTAAATCCAGTTTCTTTGTCGTGGAGCGCCTTCCTTAGCGTCGCTGCTGGCGGCAAGAGGAAGGCGATAACCATGATATAATAGATTATGCTTATGTTAGGTCGAATGGCGTACGGTAAGATTAAAAAATCTCCTTTGTAAAATGGAAATCGGCCGATAGTTAGCTGCAAAGTCGCCCACTCTTGTTAACCGCTCTTTACATCTTGCTTACAACGATTACTTGTGTCAGTCCCGTTGCACGTTCGTTATTTACATTACTTACGTTATCAGCGATCTTCGAGAGCGTCGGATCTGTCCACATTTCCACGAAGGACCTCTCAATCGCGACTTGCAGCGCCATGAAACCACTTGATACGTACGGATCTTTTGTGGCAAATATTAAATAATTTATTAATTATTTTAAATCACTTGTGCTTAAGGTGCGTTGAAAATTAAATGCGCCATCGTTGTTACTATATTAATTTTTCAATGTAAATAAAATAAAATAAATAATGGTTTTTAAGGGCAAAATATGTCTCGACATAAAGTTCATTTGGAAAATAGCTTTATGGGTTACGATTTAAAATGTCAACGTCTACTTCTGAAAATATAACATTTAAAATACCTTTTAGGGCGGGCTCTTCCTCGTGCATCATAATCATACGATTCTCGCCTATTTCGGACGAACGTATTTTGTATTCTAAGACTTTCGGTTTTCCATACGCGAACTTATCAATCTCAAATATCGCCCACAGCACCTTGGAAGTGTCATTTTTCGCGTAACGTGAACGCACGAGATTAATTTCACCGTCCGCTGCTTCAACTGATGTGTGATATGTAGCTTTCATTTAGTTTCTTTTCTCGTATAAGCGTGCTTAGAATATTATCTTACTATTTGTACGAAGCATTTTCGCAGCTTTCAGCATCAGCTCGTCTACAAATGTACTTTTTGGCGCATACAAGCATTGCACATCGTTCGGCAATTTTGCCAGGATATCATCTCGACTATATCGATCTAAATCCTTCATGTGAAATATAAGAGATGTATGCGTACTTTATTAGAATTATTAAAACAGTTATTAAATATTTAGCATGATAATGTATAACTTTATTGTGCATAAAAATTTTATTATATATAATTATCTGTACTTATCTTCTAATTCTAAATATAACATAAGACATTTTAAAAAGTGTATAGTTTTGATATTAATTAATTAATGGATAAGAAATGACTTAAAATATAACATTAGGTATAGAGGTTATTGGAAATAATGAAATTGTGTATCAAGATAAATTTGTTTAATTCAATTTTACGATTACGAGTTAGGTTACCTGCGAGTGAAGAGCGCGCGGGTCAAACATGAAGCGTATCTGTAACGAAAAGATAATGGCAATAATTATCTCCAGTGCAGTGGTTATCGGACTGTGCAGCCGCATAAGCACGGCTTTCCACATAAGAATCCGCCATCCCGTCCAGAATTTCCTGAGTTTCGGATGCCCGACAATCTTTCTCACTCGCAGCATCTTGGTTCACACCGCAAGATTAAATCGCTTGACCAAATGCTCGCGAAGCTATTTTGCGGTCTGTTTAACACAAAGAGAAAGAGAGAAAGCAAGCGGGTTTTCCGCATAGTTGAGAAAGCGAACGATTCTTGACAACTGCTTTTATGCAGAGATTAACAATATTTTCTGCGAAATAAAACAACGGAGCAATTTTGATCGGAGCGAAATTATGTCGGGACAGAGTAGGCATCGCTATGACAGTGACAAATTTTCAACGACACAATTTTTAAGTTGCATATATTTATTTCTCAAATTAATGAAATGTTTAGTAATCAAGAGGACATTTTGAAATCTAAATAGGACGTTTTTAAATCTAAGACATCTTAAAATAGATTTATAGAATTATCGGAATATATGAGATATTTACGATTTTTAATTTTTCAAATGTTCAAAAATTGCAAGGTTCCAAAAATTTCGAATTTTAAATTGCAAAAGTCAAGAACGTCAAAATTTGATAAAATATTACGAAATGATATAATCAGCGGAGATTGTGTTATTTGCTAAAAGTTGACAGGTATAATTTCATTAAAAACAGCCTGAGCCACTAGTTTTATCGATGAGTCTAATTAAATTAATTCAATTTGTCTATAAATTGTTATAGAATATTAGAAAAAAAGAGTAATTTTCGAGTCGATCTGCGATTGATATTGTAAATCCACATATCGCTGTCATGGTTACGAGCTGTCATTAGTCCGACGACACAGTGTTCTTAGAACTGCGTCATCAGTTTTCGAGATTTTTAAATAAACGGGTCGCCCCACCGTCGACGCAGTAGGAAGGAAAGTGATCGGCGAACACACGGTCTGCTGAGGCTTGCGTCACGAGATCGCGGTGCGCTTGCGAGATTTATGAGCGGATTTATACATTCATTTTTTCCATCTCTATTTGGGAAATTTTATCAAATCCAACATGAAATTTGTTAAGTTCCTCAAGAAACGGCAATTATCGGGATTGAAATAATTTTACTGTTTTGGAGAAGTTTCTTTCTTGTCGCACAATTAAATGTGAAATTTTTAATTAGCGAGACGGACATTGTAATGATGATTAATGAATTTAATTTCTTCTCTAATTTATTATCAAGTCGGCTTATTTAGGTATAACTGTTAACCATTCCAAGATGGGCATTATCCAACGTATTTTCAAAGACATAAAATTGCACCGACTGTTTCTGGATCTGTCTCTTTTGTCAGCCAGGATAAGTCTGGCGATGATAATTGCAACTTTCAGAATGATTTTACCGTGTTCCATGAAACGTTTACTAGGAGAAACCGTTCTCGTAAGTTCCGCTTTTCATTAAATTGGTCAAAATGTTGCAATAGCTTTAAATCCTTCAAATCTACACCATGTTCTTTCGCAAAAGTTTTGTTAACATTGAAATTAGATTACTGGAACCGGCCATGGAATCGGCCGCGAATTAGCCATTCAGTTATCCTCGATGGGTTGTATCATTGTCTGTTGGGATAACGATATTGATGGCAATCGATCAACAATGAGAGAAGTGTCAAAAAATGGCGGAGAGGTAAGTATATATTTAATCAGGTTTGGGAAGTAACTCGTTACTTGTTACAGTTACAGTTCTTTTTTTTGGGGTGACTCGTAACTTAAATTCGTTACTTTCTCTCCATCTGTAACTGTAACTTAACTCAGTTACATTTTTTCGATAACTATTTCGATAACTAGTTCAATAGTTACTTTATATATTTTTAAACCTCCACAGATCGCATTGGGCTTTGCATTACATTAATGCATAAACTTTATCGGCGCTTTACAATTCACATGCAAATTTGATATTTTTATTTTTATCGCAAGAAAGTGACTGTAACTGTAACGCATTACTTTTCAGAATTGGTAACTTATAACTGTAACTAGTTACATTTTTAGCGAAAAAACACTGTAACTAGATACTTTTATAAAATAACTTTTCCAGCCCTGTATTTAATTTAACTGTTTGTTAAATTTTTGCATTTTGTTTTCAAATTTTTAATATTTTTCCCGAGGAAAGACATGACTATGACAGGCGCCAATAAAAAGGCACGGGTATATCTGTAAGTACTTTTAGGTTTACGGTTTTGTGGTCGACGTCTCAAAGAGATTGGAAGTGCGCGAGACGGTGAGACTGATGAGAAAAGTCGGTGTGCCGGATGTGACGATACTCATTAACAATGCGGCTGTATTATACCATAAGTCATTCTCGAGTCTTGATCCGGACGACGTAGAGAGGACATTTGACGTTAACGTACTTTCAAACTTTTGGGTGTGCATTAAAAATTTATTCTTCACTTATATTCATTTAATCGAATATCTATTAAATAATTTTGCGCTTTAAACGCGTGTGGCTTCACAATTATCCTGAATGAATGACATTTAACCATAATAATCCATTTACGTACATTCGTAAAGTTCAATTAGATTAAATAACGTTCTTATAAATATCTTTTAATCAGAATTTCATTAGTATGTCTATTACCCACACAGCACAGAAAGATTGCAGGAAGATTGCAGAAATGTTACATTGCAAGATTGCAATATTGCAGCAACGTTGCGCAACATTGCTGCAACGTTTCTGGAGGATTGCAGCAACGTTGAAATGTCCGCCCTCGGAGAGATTGCAGTGTAACATTATAGCAATGCTGCACTGCAATATTTTTGGAATAATTTGTTGTTGTTGTACATAAGCGGAGAATTTACTAATTACATATGCATCCGGGCCTTTTTCAATACACAGCAAGCTATTGCGAAGCAACCTAAGGAGATTATGTCGCTTCGCAATAGATGGAGATTGCGAGCAACACCGCACTGATCAAGTAAAATTATTGGTATCAACGAAAATAACATTATAAAATTCTCGTAATTAGAAAAAAATTTTTAATTGAAAATATAGTATTTTCATTATTTTTGAAACATTGCTGCAATATTGCTATCGAAAATTTGCAATTTTATATCTCTGCAATGTCTCTGCAAGATTGCACTGCAATTTTCAAGATTGTAACGTTTCTGCAATGTAACTGCAACAATCTGTGCTGTATGGGTAAACAGCAATTTTTGAGAGGTAAATTAATTTACAGTAATTAAAACTTTTATCTTAAATAGACGATAGAAGCGTTTCTGCCTACGATGCTGATGAAAGGGAGCGGTCACATAGTAGCGATAAGTAGTATGTGTGGTATTTACGGGGTGTCGCAGAAGGTGGCGTACTGCTCATCAAAATTTGCCGTGAGAGGTATCTTCGTCGATATGTTTCTTCGATTTGGAGGGGAGGGGATTTTATTAATCAACTAATGAGAATATTTTTAAAAGTCGCCAGCAGTAATTAACAACATCGGTGATTTTTATTGACCGTATCTGGCAATTTTAATAATACAGATTTTCTGTATTATTAAAATTGCCAGATAGGGTCAATAAAAATCAAGGATTTTATTAAGTTTAATTTGTAGGACTTATGGAGGCCCTTCACGAGGAAGTACGATTGAATGAGAGGAAACCTAACATCCATTTCACGACGATATATCCGTTCTACGTTGACACAGGATTAGCGAAGGATCCTGAATACAGGTGAAAAGACACTTTATTTCGAGTAATAGACGCTTTGTGAGAAGTAACAGACAAATAACACGCAAGTCTAATGTACACGCAATGTAATTATGTCTCACTCATTATGCATCGCATGCGGTTGTACTCATGGTGTTATTAATTAAACAAGTACTTTTTTTAACGAGTATACAACGACGATATCCATGACGAAATAACGTTTCCGCGCAGACCTCTTCCGGCCTAGTCGCGATAATTTGCACGCGAGCATTGTATGCATTTACGAAACGAATTGTCTTTATCCACCGTAACCTAGTGTAATTGCATGGAATGTAATTAGCGCGCAGTAAGTGGAACGGTCCAATCTATGAAGTAATAATGAGATTAGAAGGAAATTGTTGCGTCTATGATTCACTGTCTTCGGCAATTTCCAATCTTTGTTTCCAATTATAATGAGCAATAATTATAAAAGGAAACGCTTAAGATTGCGGACTTGAAAGAAATCATAATGTGTTACTCGGAGTAAAACTTTATTACCTCTCTTTTCTCATAGCAGAAAAATATCTCACACAGACTACATCTTCGAAGTACAGGTTTAAACCCGTTTATTAATTAATTAATAATAAAAACTTGCCTCCATTTAACAATCTTCCTCTCAAGTTTACACATAAAATAATTACATTACCGTAATCAACGTTATTGCTTTAAGTGACATTATTGTGTCGCTGTTTGATTTTTTTTTATAATTCAATAACAAAATGTGATTACTTTAAGTGTAAAATGGACAAGAAAATTATTATATGGAGACAAATTTTTTGTCCATATGATGTAACATAATTTTTTTACAACAGTGCTCGATAATTTACTTGTTTTCTATCTGTGATGATAATGGATTAAAAATAAACTTTAATTTAGAATCAATTACAGATTTCCTTATATCTTTGGCGTCGTGACACCAGAATACGCCGCCCGAGAGATAATTAAAGCGATACGGAGAAACGATACGGAATATTCAATACCGCGAAGTCTCTTTTCTCTGAATGTAATCAACAGGTATATATCGAAAGTGTTAAAAGCCGCGCAGTTATCATCCATTTCATAATCAAATTTGTATTGTTATCTAAGTCATAAACGTTCGTTTTTTACGTTTCTTCTTCTTCAGAATTCTTCCGGAGAGCGTGATGCGTTTGATATTAGACTTTTTAGCGGATGTCGATCGAAAGCAGAAGGAAAGAGACGCAATGAATTCGAGATTAGATTTGATATGCTCAGAGAGTACAAAACTTAGAGATTATGCACAGTAAAGGTGCACTTATACTTTTTTTTATTAGATATTTACATAACGGATGAAACGAGAAAGTCTGTTTGTAGTATATCACATCTGTTAATCGTAGTATATTCATTAAGTATGTAGTAAATTTATTATTGAATTAATAAATATATATTTTCTCTGCGTTTTTTATCAGTTACTAATGTGGCAATTGGGTGCGGACTTTATTGGGATTTTTAAGAAAGTCTTGAGATTCATGGAAAATTCATGGAAAATTGAAAAAAGCAACGTTGCAGCAACGTTGAAATGTCCGCCCTCAGAGAGATTGCAGTGCAACATTATAGCAATGTTGCAGTGCAATATTTTTGGAATAATTTGTTGTTGTTGTACATAAGCAGAGAATTTACTAATTACATATGCATCCGGGCCTTTTTCAATACACAGCAAGCTATTGCGAAGCAACCTAAGGAGATTATGTCGCTTCGCAATAGATGGAGATTGCAGGCAACACCGCACTGATCAAGTACTTATAAATTATTGGTATCAACGAAAATAACATTATAAAATTCTCGTAATTAGAAAAAATTTTTAAATAGAAAATATAGTATTTTTATTATTTTTGAAACATCGCTGCAATATTGCTATCGAAAGTTTGCAATTTTATGTCCCTGCAATGTCTTTGCAAGATTGCACTGCAATTTGCAAGATCGTAACGTTTCTGCAATGTAACTGCAACCATGTCTACGCTGTATGGGATATATTATACTTTTACTTTTCCACCATGTGTGTTTGTATAAACATGCTGGTGTAAGAGGCCCGATGTTCGCTCTGGAACATGTCGGGTGGAAAAGTATACCGTTCTTTTAGAAAGTAAACTCGAAATGTATCAAGTGTGCAGTCACAATCACCCTATTATTGTCGGCTCGTTGTATTATGTAATTAAACTTGTTAGTTTCGGTCAGTACACGAAATACATCTTTATCGATTTACACCGTGGTTACGTGGATCTTGTAAAAATTACATCGCTCGAGCGCACCCACGTTCCTTCCGCGTCATTACTCCTAATGGCAAGTTTCTCGTGGCATAATTTCGCTATTCGATATCAACATGCGTCATTTAACGTACCCGAATGTGCGTACGTACAGAGTTTTTGTTCATGCGTAATTTGATGATTGAATTCTTGGCTCGAGATCAATATTAATAATGAGCCTTGTCCGTGTTTACGCGAATTTTACCTTGTAACTTTAAGTATACGACAATTTGCACAGGAGTGGAAGCTTATATAACTTTAGTATATTTCTTACAAATATTGTACATTAGGTGCAGACAACTTCTTGGAACGATTGATAATGCGGCAAGGTCAGGGAGAAAGAAGAGTATTATGTAAATTAAAAATATTACTCATTAAATACAATAGCTTTTTGTGCGAACTGATCGATATTGGAAAAAGATCATTCAATCGACACTTTATATTTAGCAATATTTAGCAAAATGTGCACTCTTTTAAAATGAGAACGAGAGTATACTATATTATATTTAAATACAAGAAGCATCCCAGTGAGAAATGATTGGCTTGACTTTAAACAGTAGACGAAACTGGTCCCGCTATAAAATCAGGATGTCGTTTTATGTACGTCATGTGTCTAAACTTAGAAGGTTTTATTTTCCTGTTACGCAGGCAACGAGCATTTTGACATCGTCACATAATTTTCCTACGTACGTAACGTATAATCTGTGTCTGTAACTTATAATTTTGTTTTATTGATTATAAATATTACAAGACGTTATTGATACAATCAATTGTGCAAAAATGGTATTGCATAAATTTATCTTATTTTTCTTTACGTTTCTATATGTGTATAATGCGCAAATTGTGCAATTTCTTATAGAGCATCTTTGCACAATCTAATTAAATCGCGACTAAGTGGAAGCGTACTGGTAACTGTGTGTGAATTTACATTACAATGTAAGAGGCAAAGCATTTACGATTGTGAAAGAACCTTTCAATCTAGTAAAAAAAAAAGGATGTCGATGTAACTACTAATTGTATATACGCATAGAAATCTTTTCTACATTTGTGCAGCCACGTAGTCGTAAAATGCAATTTTATGGTATTTTTTGGCACGAATATTTACATAATCGAAACGTAATCGAAATAAAACATGGGACAGCATTGCTTCAGGAAACACGATGTTAAATGAATATCTTCCAAACCCATTCAAATCTTTCTCGGACATATTATACACTCGCAATTTCTACGTGGACAGTTTTCTCAAAAACCTTTCACAAATTTAACTTTTTACACAAAACAAAAACCGTCTAATGCTTCATTAGTAAACGAGCAGTGAAATATTTATAAAATCTACGAATTTGTATCGCAAGTGCAAATGTAAAATAATTACAATTGTGTCAACATTATCAGCATTACCTGAGAATAGTAGTACTAAAAGATAGCCCTGTGTCGAATCAAAAATTTTAATTATGTGCAAAATCTAGATGCATAATGAAATGAAGGTGAAAAATCGTTACTCGTGGCCGTTTGACAAATGTTGTCAGCATTATTTACTCTAAGAATATGACACTCGAGCGACGAATGAAAGAAATACGTAAACGAGGCCAAGAAAATGACAAAGACGCCAGCGACCTTGGTTGGGTCTTATACCTCGACTATTCTCGGTACATTTTACTGTTCAAGTGTTCAGTCAAGTTCAAGCGACTCTCGCGTTCTGACCACTGACGTCGCCGTTGCATATTCGCGGAACTGTTGTTCCTTCACGTTCCCCACTGTTCACGAAACTGCCGAGTGACTTGGAAATCCTACGTGATCCAGTGATCTACGCGTCCCTCGTGGTAACGTTTCTCGTTCTAGGCGCATTTATTCCGCGCGATAGTGAGACCGCTGTATCGTGCTACATGCGGACTTACGTTATAAAAAGTGCAAACGTGGATAATCTGCTAAAATAGGTATGTCAAGGGACAATTTACGCCTGTACTTTCTGTAAGATTTAATAAAATAATAAAGATATTTATTATTTTATTAAATGTTACATTTAATACTATAATTAAATTAATAAGATTATTTTTAATTAAATTAGCGCTGTTAATCTTTCTTTCGTGTATAAATTTTTCATTAATTATTTGATTTTTATTAAACTGGATAATACAAGCGCGCGCTTCGCACGCGCCATTTGCTCTCTCTAAAAATTCGCATGGTTTGACAGCTGCAAATAACACAATATCTCAAGCATGTCGTATCGCACAAGCGAGACAGCCAATCAGCATCTCGGAAAAGCGACAATACTTCCAGACTTTCGACTATTGACTTAACACGCTTTTTTTTTATTTAGGAAGAGAAGAATAGTAGATATTTTCAATATACATATAACTTCGTACTTTGTACGAACGATAAAACTTGACGTGCTTCTGCAAATAAAGTGGCTTCTGTGTGATGTGTTGGAAACATGCTGACGTCAACAAACTGGTTTTAAAAAAATGCACGCTATTATTCAGATGACTTTGTATCATAAATCTCTGTTTTAATTTACCACAAATATGAATTCTAATTGAGCGGAGTACACATTATACGCCTCTACGAAGCGTGAGAATAATGCATCATATACAGTCGATTAAGCACGCAATATTTATTAGTAACTACTGCGTTTCTTTGTGCTATTGGCAAACATTTACGACATCCTACCTTTACTCGGCTTTGTTCTCGTGTTCTTCCAAGTATGCGGCAACATTTATCAATATAATTAATATTTAATAATATAATCGGTCATCATTTAACAATATAATAAATTTAAATTAACGATATTAATTTAATTAAATAATATAATTATTATTTCTTGATTGGCAATTGGGCACAATTGGAGAATAAATACAAAGAGTAGATAATCGGTTCTGGATTCGCCTGTGTCGTAAGACATGTTACGTAAGAAGTTTGTTTCGGAGATTTGATTCCTGTCTGTTCTTTAAAAACTCGAAATTCAAAAAGTTGATGACTAATGTTTGTCGTGAAATGCAGAAATCAAAGCTTAGTATACATTTTTCTATTTTCTTTTACTTCAAGACAAATTAGTGAGTGTGTAAATTAGATTGTACATCGAGTTTGTATGTACATAGGGGAAACTTCGAAGATAGCTCGACGCGGCCCTGGGCTGCACAATTACTTGCATTGTGAGATATAATCACCTATCAATCTCTACGTAGATCGTGAAAAAATTCAAATTTCCTTTGACTCAGCCTCAATCAATAAAGCGATAATATCGTAATTAATGCCTTTAAGGCGCATTAAGTTCCATCCATACTTGCATTTTGACTTTCTCGTGAGAATTTTGCAGCGAGTATTGACATTTCGCATTAATAATTGTAATGTAACTAAAAAATTGTCATTCCCATGCAATGTTAATTATAACCTTATTAATTAGGAAAAGAACACTAATTAGAAAATCAATTAAATTTATTTTTAATTTATCTTTGATGCGTTATATCAACATTCGTCATTGCCCACGGAAAGTAGTTTCAGGACGAGTTTTATATTTAGGTAGCAAACAGTAGCCTTTAATTTCATTTGCGTATAGCAAGATTATTATATAACAGGTAACAGATATGTGATTGCAACAAGTGTGGGTCGGATAGGCAAACCCTGTTGGATTTTGCCTACTCTTACCCGGTGGAAAGTAGTGCGCCCATAGAGAATACAAGTTATGTAATACGATAAATAGCATTCGCTCTATAAACACCGCGCCAGATTTATGGCGTTGCAGTTATGATTACGTGTTGCGTTATTTACGCGCACTGTTATTGTGTCCTGTAAACGTTTCCCCATATTTTCGCGGTTTTTACAATGAGTCATTCGCTTGTATTACTTATACATATATCTAATATTCCGTTTCATTTGCGAATAAACAAGTGAAACGGCAATAAATGGCGTGAAAACGGACGCTTTAGCAGAATATAAACGGACCAACCCGGTGATATTTATGAATATTAAACCTCTATTCGATTACCACTTTATATCCTCATGACTTCTGTCGTATCCATTGTTTCGCCAAAATTCACATCACATTCACTGTTAACTAGAGATTGGTCGACTCTCCAACCTTTTCTTTATTATTATCTAAAAAGAGACAGGTAATCGACTAATCTCTGGTTAACATTTAACCAGAAAATGAAAAACCAGTCCTTAGTGTACTGGAAATTAGACTTCAATTGCGCGATAGTGCATTTTTAATACCGAAATTACATTGCGTCGAGAATTACATATTTTTACGTGACTACAAAATTATTACATGTTATTTATATCGACAGTTTTCTAAAGGTTTGAGTAAAAAGTACTAAGAAACGATTGTAGAACATTTCTTAGATCAAATTCGAATACACAAAATTACTATGATACAGTAGTGAATGATAAATTTTTTGTGGTTAACAGTAACTTCTGATGTAACAATGAATAATTTAATTTAGGTTATCATAATTTTAGGCAGGCACGAAGTTGAATATCGCGTTTTATTATTTGTCGTGTTGATGTCGAAATACGGCGCAACCAAAGTTTCGTGTTGTTCAAACAGAAAAAGGACGAAGTGGCAGTTTTATGGTTTGTTTAACCACAACGCTATGAATCTTCTTGAATTTAATATACATCCAATTAGTTCAAGCATTCGTACGCATTCGTACGCGTATTAATTTATCAAGTTAAGAAGTTTTATATACTGTAATTTCGGATGGAAACTTTTCTTAGAACTCTTCACACGATTTTTCAAATTTGAAAAATGATTTAGAAGATTTCTCAGATTTTTCAAAATTAACACATTTTTAACAAATGTTGAGAAAGTCACTACGTCCTTTTCATTCACAATCACTTACGTGAATTCCAAAATATTCTAAAATTTTTCTTTCTCAATTTCTAAAGAAAATTTATAAAATCTGAGAAAGCTTAAGGTTTCTTAGACATTGTCGTAAAGTAAAACTTTTTAAAGATTCGTAAAATATATTGTGAATATTACGAGAACTTGTTTTCACTAGGGATTTATTGGTTAAATTTCTTCTGTCTACATATTTGTAGCTTGTAACATTGTAACCGTAGTTGTAAAATATAAAAATGTAATACCATTATAAAATTATATTATATATTGGATGGCATAATATTATTTCATTTCTTCGAGGTTTAGAATTAGTATAGCTATTTATGAATAATATTATTTAAAACTATTTTATTTATGTTAAGATTTTCAAAATTAATGCTTTAATTATGAGTAGAGTAGCAAGGTGCAATAAATTCTGGATTTATGAAGTTGGTTCACCAATTCTTAAATAGGTTGCGCTCTATTTCGTGCAGTTTGAAACGTGCGTTTGTAACTTTCTTCTTTTTTTGCGCAGTAAAAATGTCAATACGTTCCATATTAATCCGTTATATAACGAGTTATTTAGCAGTTTTGTTGGTTTTGCTACTGATCCTAGCGTGTTTTCATCATACTGGTTTAATATCAGATAGAGTTGAAGGCAAACATTTATTTCGCAGCCGTGTAATGGCTGTAATAAATAATGCAAATGAATATCCGGGTTTGCCGCGCTAGCCACATTTTCCTATCAAACACGATGATTACGCGTTACATCATAAACTAACTTTATAATCGTATAGCAGTAAGTTCAAGTTCAAGTTAAAAACATGTAAATTAAAAGTTATTACGAAAATGATTACTTAGCACTTTAGTAAGAATGGTATTTAGTAGGAAGTATTACCTCAATATGAAGCGTTTTGCTCAAGCGCGTTTCGCTAGAATGAGGCGATAATTACATACAATTAAAATTTTCTATTTATGCAATATAGAACTAATATAGGCCAAAAGTATGATTAATTTAGAACGTACGTCGATTCGTAGGGAATCTCTGCAATCTCTGACGTAACTGACTTATTTCTGTTTAATTAGTTTGCTTTCACGTCTCGATGCGATGATCGTAAATCTTTTGGGGTGCTTGCTTGTCTGTAAAGCGTTACATTCTTCATTACACGTCGTGTAGTAGACATACAGAAATTTACACGTTACATAATCACTTGCTCATAAGTTGATACTTTCTCGTGTGAAAAGGCATTGATTTCAACAGAGTACAAGTATAATTTGTCATATCTTCTAGTAACGAGAAGGAGCTCGCACGATTTGTTGGTAAAAATTCTTTTATGGATCTTTTATGGATACTTGTAAGTGCAGTAAGGAAGGAAACATAAGAAATGTAATAATTGTGACAACTCCGGTGATAATCTTGAGACAATATCGCTGTAATAGTTAAAATTATTGCTATAGCGTTTTGACGAATTATAATTCTATTATTTATCGTAACAAATAATAATAATCATATATATATGTTAAACATTAATAAATAAATCGATAAATAAAAAGCATAACGAAAATTTGTACTTACTTTAGACAAGGCTTATTAAATTGCAACAAATGATAACTTATGATAAATAATATATAAGAAATTAATTAATTTGCATTATTTTACAGTGGATGATGCTACGAGTTACAGACGAATCAGTGATTGCAACTTCAAGAACAGGCTTCTCGATTAATTTCTTGTTTTATCTTTGTGCCGAATTTCTAATTGGCGCTGTCATCTCTAATATCTTAGCCATCCTGGATATCATAAAGTCTCTTCTGCCAAAGCCACCAAGGGATTTGAGCGGCGATGTAGTTTTAGTACGTACACATTCTATTTACTTTATGTCGCACAACTGTTAATATTTTTATAATTAACGTTAACATTTCATATAGTCAATTAATTTAAAAGAGTTATACAATTCGTACGAGAAATGCGATAAGTGCTATTCGAATTAGGATTGAAAACTGGACGAAATTAATTTTCTGGCACGATTATATATTATAGTATGATTATATTATTTAGGTATCGTAATTTTAATACACCATAATGTATAGAAATAAATTGAAAAAATTATTGGACGACCCAACTAGCGGGTAGTTTATTAAACAAATTCGTTCCACAACGTTTCGGCCATTGAATATTGTGGCCCTCCTCCAATAATATCGCAAAACAGATTTGTATTGCTTCTACTCAGGTCCGTAAACTGTATAAAATTCGAAAGAAACACTATGGTCCCCAACACGCATGCAAGAAAAGGAAGAAAAGAGAAACTTCTATTGTTTTCGATTTGCCTCTCTGTTTTCTAGAAACGATGACGCGATCATTTCCGACACACCGATTGGTGCACGCGAGGAAGTGAGCACGAAATAATGCAAACATAAGAGTCATACAAGCTAGCCTGTCGCGCTCAATGCATCTTGTATGCACAAGAGCAAGCACAAGCTAGCATACAGTTAATCATACAGAAAGTCATCGTGCGACGCCGGTTTTTTATCTCACTGCATTGTCTGTTGCGCCGTACAGACGTGCTCCGTTGACCAGTGACTAAACAGTGGATTTTAATTTATAATTTTATCAAGTGTAAGTTTTAATATCGCCAGTAGACAATTAATCAATAGACAATTTTCGACACGACTGGCATCAATTTATTGTTGAGAAGTTACAAGCCGCTACGGGTTGTGGTTCTTTTCGAGCGAGTATACAATTGTGCATCACGTAAATGCCAGCCATCCAATCAAGAATTATATAATTTAATTATTTGGATATATTTTATTAGAAAAAACATTTTTATTTTCTCTACAAAAGTAACGATATCATTAAATTGCGCCAACTAAAATGGATACTTATAGAAACTAGATAATTTATTATTTAAAAATGTTATATCCAAACAATCTAGCGTAAGATTTCACCGAAAGAAATTAAGGAGACAATAATATTAATGAGGCAAATTTTTTATACTTTTTCAATAAAAATGTAATCACGTAATTGCCACTAAATAAAGATTGAAGTTGTAAAATTACGGAATCTACCGTTGAGTCCTATAACTACAGGACGTGTTTTACAGCGCGTCTGCAAACGTAGTGTTTGTCCCTAATTTTATATAGTTAACGTTTTATGGACCTAGAGTGGTACAAAGCCTGTTTTGCGATTATTTGAAAAGGACCACAATCAGGGTGGTCTGAATGTTGTAGAACAATTTTATTTAATGAACTACCTGCCAGTTGTTACAAATATTTACTGGCGAGGAAAATCTTTTATTTCTGACAGAAAAGTAGCTTCTTTTTGCAATTTTAAAAGTAGATTTCTTTAAAAAAAATGTGATACAATAATTTAATAAATGGAATCGGAAAATGATTACCTTATTCTCGTGTTTGAAAGAAGCTACTTTTTTATTAAACAATGTCGTAAATAAATTCACTTTAGAATTCGACAGTCTTGACAATGCGAGGTGTTTTTTTTTAATAAAGAAATGTTTCCTGCGACAGATTGCAGGTGTCTCGTCGACCTTTGGCGAGTCTCTCGCCGAGGAATTTGCAAGGGGTGGATGCTCTGTGATCTGCGTGGATAACGACTTTAGATCCGCGGAGGAGATAACTGCTAGGCTAAAATCGCGGTGCAACAAAGTGAAGGGAATCGGGCCTGGCCATAGGGAACACGAGCGGGAGAATGTAGGGCCGACAATGGCAGCGTACGAATGTAACCTGCTGGATCGTAATGCTATACGTGAGATCGCCAAGAAGGTCGAGGATGAGGTCGGTGGCGTCGACGTCCTAGTGACCTGCGCCGGGCAGCCTTATCAAGATATTTTCGATACAGCCAATACGACACTCATGAGCCATTATTGGGTGAGCGTCGGCCAACAGTTGTGTCCTTGAAGCAATCATGTCTTGTCACATTCGATCACGGCCGGTCGTTAACTTTTTAATATCACGGCGGATTGCAGAATCTGCAGAGAAAATGCGCTTGAAAATGCTATTTGTATATTAGAAATACATGATTGGTCAGAAATGAAGGTTGCTGATCTATTTTCACTTTTAAAATAAAGAATCGACGAGGGAAAGCCAATGTGAGCCAATAAGCGCGGAAGACTTGGTTTAAACGTGGAAAATAATGTTTCGACCTATTTATCGGGTCTTCTTCAGTGATTTGATTGTGAGACAACGAATAAAGTTCGAAAATTACAATAAAAAATTGTTAAAAACATCAATAAAGCAGAGTGCGAATTGGTCAAACTGAAATAAAAAGTAGAATAGCCGATAAAGAAGATAATTATGGCGAGCGTGAAACGGAAATTATCGTGGAATCAGTGTAACAGTCGCGATAAAATTTATTCGTCTCTCAAGACTGAACACTCGCGAGTCTCCATAAGATTCAAACCATAAAGAGAAGGAGATAGCAAGCCGCAGTCTAAAGAGTAAAACTTTTGAAAAATTTAAAGCCTCAAGATTTTTGATACAGAAAAATTTAATTTGAAAATTTGGCCAACGACAGAAATAAAATAAAATATATGTAATTACATCCGGTTTTCAGATATTTTAACTGGCAGATACATATACGTATGAAATTTAACGATAAATTTATTGCGATTCATTATTCGTACAAATTAAAATAAAAATTCCCGGCCAAACAGTTGAGTAATAAGTTTACAAGTTGATCAGCTTTCCTTCTCTTTTCCTTCTTATTGCAGATGGTTCTGGCATTTTTGCCATTCATGCTGCAACGCGACAGAGCGCACATTGTCGGAATCACACCGGTTGCATCCACCCAGGATGTATACTTGAGCTCGAGGGCGGCGATCGCCGGTATGTGTAGTCGATCATAAAAGCCAGCCGTCAAATCGTGCGGTGAACAATAAACGTCGGTTAATATAGTGCGTGATTTATTTACATGTAGGTCTGATGGAGAGTTTGTGTCAGGAATTGGGCACTCGTAGTAGCCATCTTACTTTCCTCGCGATTTCACCGACGACAGCAGGCGGGTGAGCTTCCTCACGAAAAGAAAAGAGAGCAAAGAAAATTCGTCGCTGCTCCCCGATGCTAACTTTGAATCATTAACTTGTATTGCAGTTCGACGAGACGAAAAGAGCAGCAAGTAGCCAAGGAGGTTGTACAGGCGGTCAGAAGGGGCCAGTGCAGCATCAGCATTAATTGGTGCTCGAACATAATGTATCAAATAAGGTAAAGTGGTCGTTCTCTAACGATTATAAGTCGATAATTATTGCGAGATATACTAAACGTTATATATGTAGATTAAATTCAAGTTGAGCTTGAAGGAATTAATAAATAAAGAGTAATGTACGCACGTGTGCGATAAAAAAATATTATTTTATATGTAATTATGTAAAATATTACCATTTTATATAACTTTTACTTATATACTATGTTTACCTTTTTGCTCTGTTAACATATTAATATCTTTGCATTATTTTGTGGCAGTTAAATGTAATTCTTGATATAGTAATAATATATGTATGTATATGATTTCTAATTGACTTAATGCGACTTTTTATTTCAGCTACGCGATCCATAGTGCAATAACGACAGTCTCACAATGGCTTCACACGCGGGGATGCAATTATTCCTTTTAAATCCTGTTCTTGTTCATGAAGCGTGAAGCATTCCAGTCGGCTACCGACACGAGTGTGGGAATTCGCGGTTTCTGTTAGCTAGTTCCCTCGAGATGGACAGCAAAAACCTTCAAAAGTTATTTGAAATTTGTCCAACGAGTCTTCCCACGAGTTGTGCGAAGAAGAATTATTCCAATTAATTATTCGAGGCCGAATCACATTATAAAATTATGCATCGTTGCATGTCATAATATACATGTGTATAATCATAGTACATTGTTATAGCATAAAGAGAATTTTTGTAGTTTTTAGGAAAATAAGCTATTTGTTAATAAAAATGTAAAAAAATTGTCCTTACGTCTCGATTCTTCTCATCAGATGTATAAGATATTTAATTACACGAGGTACTATATTTGTCTAAACTGTTTTTTCTATTAGAGATATCGATAAGACCATTTTTTAACTTTTTAATATTTCATATAATGTCATTCCGGTCACACAGGTTCGTGTAAAAATGTTTAGGCATTTTTCTTATATCATCACTTGTAAACTTCACATTTTATTAAATACAACAGTGCAAAACTTATCCTATTTATTATTTTTAATTCTTCATATTATTTTTTCTACAAACAGAGATTACACCAAAGAAAAAGAATAGACTAGGGTTGAGATAGTTACTTTATAATAATATCTAGTTATATTTACAGTTTTCGCTAAAAATGTTAATAGTTGCAGTTCCAAGTTAGCAATTTTGAAAAGTAACGCGTTAGAGATACAGCTACTCAAAAAGTAACGAATCGCTACCTTGCAGTTACTTTCTTGCAATAAAAATAAAAATATTAATTCTGCATTTGAATTGAAAAGCATTGATAAAGGCGTTTATGCGCAAATGCAAGGCCTAATGCGATCTGTGGAGGTTGAAAAAATATATAAAGTAACTGTTAATATAACTATTAAATTAGTTACTAGTTATCGAAAAAATATAACTGAGTTAAGTTACAGTTACAGATGTAGAGAAAGTAACGAAGTTAAGTTAAAGTTACCAAAAAGAAGTAACTGTAACTGTAACTTCGTTACAAGTAACGAGTTACTTCCCAACCCTGTTTCAAACAAATATAAGCACAACAATTATAACTAAATGCTTGAATAATATTTATGAATTACATGAGGCATTATCAAGATATATAAGTAACAAACATATTAATGAGTAAGTAAATAAAAACCAAGCAGCAATTAAATTGCATTCCTTAGATGATTGATATTTAAATCATAAAATCGCCTTATACTTTGTAGCAACGTCGTATAATTTTAAAAACGTATAATTTTTCGTCAAGTGCATGCATTTAGCGATATATTCTAATATCTGTGTCAAGATTATATTGTGGTTCCAAAGTATGTATTATGAAGACATAATTGCCCAAAGATTTCAAACTCAGATCTTTGTCGTTTATTCTAACTGTCCACTGACCTGTGTATACAAAAAGTGAATAAGAAATTTACTAATGTAGTCATGCAGAATTATAATAGTACATTGTAGTCATGTACAGATATTATTTGATTATTGAATCGTAATTCTGGTCGTAGGTACTTACATTTCTTAAAAAATAAAGCGTCCAATCGTAATGAATATTAAAAATCCGTAATACCTGTGCAGTTACCTGTACATGAGAATATGTATCAATCATTGATTATATAGATATAAATAAATAAATGACGACATAGGATGATATAAACTTGATAAAATAAAATAATTAATTATAACGTTTAAAAAAATTACTATGACATATTAAACTAATGTTTATATAACTTAATAATTTTAAATTTTGTCGAAAGTAAGCTTTCATATATTTGTTGAACCAAATATATTAATAATTTGGAATTTATAACAGAAATGAATATTTCATTGTCAGACTTTTATACCTCAGTTGACCTTCTTGATTTCCAAAAGAGTGCTAATATGTATCGTCGTGATAAAATCTTTGGCAAGCATAATTTTTTTCATGCATAGATCGTCGTATTATTCCATGTCCGTTGTTATGTCCAATTCTTTCTTAACAACCGTTGTTATCTCCAGTTCTTCTTTCACAACCGATGTTATCTCCAGTTCTTCCTTTACAACAGATATTATCTGTTCTTGCTGTACATCTTGATTATTTATACCATGACATTTTTCCAAATGAAACTTCAAGTAATTTGATCCTTGAAATATACAGAAAGTGCAAGAACAATCTTGGAGTTTGCAAATTACACGATTGTCTTTGAATGTGAAATATCTCGATAACCAGGTGCAAGTAATTTCTTCGCCTAATGCAGTTGCTATTTCTGGATGAACAGTATTCATATGTTTCTTTATATTTGCGTCTGTATAAGTACGAATGCATTTGTCACAACATTTGCAACGTGCAATAAATCCGTCTTCCTTCAAGAAATATCGCCAAAGTAAGGTGTCTTCCATTTTGTTTTTCCAGATAAAATTATCGTGTTTGTGAAATATGTTGTGAGTAAAACATAAATGTGCTTTTAAAGTAGAGATACGGTATTTAAAATTTTTATTACAAATATTGCACTTAGTAGTAAAGTTGTCTACTTTAGTAAAATATTGCGAGAACCAATTACGTTTTCTGTTTATTTGCACTGCCATTACACCTGGTTGCGGATAAGTGCCGGTATAGTTCTCTTTATTTACAGATTGCATCATTCCATTTTCGTTATTATCTTTAGATTTTACTTCATGTCCTGAATATTCATGATATTTATGAAAATAATTGAAATGAGATATTAAGTGGTGTTCTCCTTTGATTATATCAATTGTGTAATCACACCCGTGCAGTTTGCAGGTTGCATGGCTGTTGGTGAATGTGAAATGCTCCGATAGCCACGTACAAGCAATTTCTTCTCGTAATGCGGTTACTATTTCTGGATGAGTTTTCACATGTCTCTCTAAAGTTTGATTCTGGTAAGCATGAGTGATTATGCCGCAACGTTTGCAACGTGCAATGTACCCGTCTTCTTTCGAGAAATACTTCCAAACTGAGTTGTTTTCTTTCTTGTTTATCCACTCTAAATAATCTGCTTCATTTGATATCTTATGAGAGTAGTATAAATGTATTTTCATACGATTCCAACCGCTTTTGTAAGTATAAAGCTTATCACAAATATTGCACTTTATAAAACCTTTTCTTTTACTGAAATGATTCCACATCCAACTACGTGGTTTCTCCATTTTCTATACTGTTATATCTGGTCAGTATCACAGAGGATATAATACTAAATATGACTCCCCGATAATGTTTTCACTAAACCTAAATATTAGTACGTTGTTTGACACTTGCTGTTAGTTACATTAATTTGTGTACATGCGCACTTATTTTGCCAAACTAAGCGTGAAAACAATATAGGAGAACACGCCAATGTGGGTCACAAGGCAAGATGTAGGTAGCCCACCTTGTAAATCTTATATCTTTCTGAAAAATCGTGAATCTATATACCGTTTCTTTCCACATTAGTTCTACGCGCCGATTTTCTTTTTTGGACATAACGTAGTTTATATTACAACGTGGAATTATTATCGTCAGCAGATTCACGTATTCGAATCGGTAATTATTTTTCAAATGCAATTCGCATTTTTCTGATGCTACATTTAGCATTCAATACAAAAAATAGAACTAATGTGGAAAGAAACGGTATATAGATTCACGATTTTTCAGAAAGATATAAGATTTGCAAGTTGGGTTACCTACATCTTGCCTTGTGACCCACATTGGCGTGTTCTCATATATTGTTTAGTTTTAGATAAGGGTCTTACTTGAAAGTTTATATATTAAACGTGAAAACTTTGCAGTAAAGTCTATGGTAAGAGTTTCTTATAGTAAAATTATTTTTTAATTTTCGTTCCTACAATCATTACAATAATAGTGCAGCAACTATCGTAAAAAAGTAATGCATTTTTAGTTTTAAAATAAGTTTGATTTGATCGCAGAAGCTATTGGTGTCCGTATATGAATTTGATCACACAAAACTTACACAGGCTTAGCTTTTTAATTGATTTAAGGGTAACAAATTTAAATCAGATCTGAACGTAAATGTAAATGAGATTTATTTAAGTTATTTAAAACAAATTATTATTATAGTAGTTCTGTGATTATTTATCTTGTCAAAATTTTTCACTCTCATTAAATGTTTAACTACTTGAAATACGTTTACATTGTAATGCAGTATATACCATGCTGAAACATTACACGCAGAGAAATGTAAGCAAGAAAACACAAGGGGAGTAAGACACAAGAAAATCAATTCACCAATTAGATCCGATATTTCTACATCATGTAGTCTTTCCTTTTCCACAATTTCCGATTAGTTAGTCGCTTCTCTTTCTGCTTAAATTTAATCTGCTTACGCTTGTTCAAGTTCTTCATTTGCTTTATATTTTGAAGGGAATGTTATGAATGTAGTTGCTCGTTTATTTGCAGTTCTAATAATTTTCGTAGATTTTCCGCGGAAAGCTAATGTAATTTTCAAACAAAATAGTTTTATCTGAACTCATTATTTTCTGTATCCTTATTTTGACCGAAATAACAATATTTTACACAATAATTTTCTTACAGCAGGTTCGTATACTTGATGTCTGTTTGTACCTCTCTTTAATAAAGTAATATTTCGTACATTATTGAGTCATGATGTTTTTTGTAAAATATATTGAAATTGTTAATGAAATTTCATTGCGTGTATAGTTTTACACATTTCATAAATATATTGGTTGGTCGTTTGTGGGAATTATTTTAACTATTGTTTAAGTTGATTAATTGTCACAGAGTATAATTTATTCGCCCAAAAAGTAACTTGACATTGAATCGGGTAACAGGACGTCGTAGTGACCGTTTTCGGTGCATCCGGTGAACAAGAGCCTCGCAGTTTCATAGTTGATGTTTACGCGATTATGGAAGACCAGCTTGAGCTCGTATCTGCCTGCAAGTTCGCGATAGATCGAGAGATTCATGCGATAGAGTTTCGTGGCCACGGTGCACTCTAGCTCGCTGGCGAATGTGCCTACTGGGCTCATGTAATCATAGTACTCTTGACAATCCGAAATGTTCCACTCGGCCATCACGAACGGGCCGTATTCGTGCCAATTGTTCTTAATGTGTTGCACAACCTGCCAAATGATCCATGACTCTTATGTACGACGACGTATGTCAATTACTGCCTGATTTTTTGTCAAGCCGGCATCGCGCAATAAAAAACAATACTTAGGAAGTAGCAATATACAGCAATGTATTCGATTCAACTAAGTGAGCTTCGTATTTTCTGTTAGGAAGCGACTCTCATTGTAACTTCATTGTAATGGACCTTTGACATTTTTCATATTCTTTATACGTCGTGTTTTGTGCCTTGTATGATTATGATATTTATATTGATCGTCGAAGACTGACCGTGGTTCGAAGCGACTGGTGCTCTTCCTCATTTTGCCACAAAATGTAGCTGATCGCTCTGAACATGCAGTTTCCATCTCCGTATATCCTACGCACGCGAAACGTGCCCTCGTTACACCTTAATAGAGCCGTACCTTTAGGGAATTTAAAGCATGTGTATTATTAATCATATATTTAATAGTAAATGTTCAATAAAAAAAACATGCACACGGACGAAGGTAAACGAGAAGATTCTCGTAGATCTTTAGATGCTAATGGAGTAAAACTATTTTAAACATCTTTAATTATGACATAAAACTTCTGCAATGCAGCACATATCATGATTATAATGTACTGAAATGTGTTAAAATAACCCTGTTTGTGATTTTAAACGCAAATTGTGCCAAATTATGACGAAATAGAGCAATTCGGCAAACAGAATCATATTTGGCACTCAAAAAACGAGGAAATGATTCTCTCATTCTTGTACTCCACAAAAAGTGATTTTTTTTGTTGAACAGTGTAATCGGATTTTCTTCACATACGAATATTTTCCTGACAAAAATAAACCTTAGATTCGTATAGTCACATGTATTGTTAAAAATGCCAATGACGTTTGATAAGTTACCTCTTTTAGATGTTTGAAAATGTCCGTTTCTACGCTTTCTGCAAGTGCACCTTGTAACTCGCGGTGAAACTTGTTTATTGGATACGCAACGGATTTGCCATGCAGAATGACATTTATTTGGCTGAGCTTTCGAAAAAATGCCGACGATTTTGAAGTCTTCTCGATCGGAGAAATGTTCTGCTTCTTCTGATTCTGTCCTTTTTTCATTCTCGTGTGATGTGCGGTGGTGGTCGTAAATTTTTGAAAATTATTTCGCTATATAATAGTTTTTCTCTTTTTTTGAGAAAGTATATTTCGCGGTATCTTCAATCAAAGTACAAGTTTCTTGATATAAGATAAATAAAGGTTAGCAGAAATGTATGTCTCAACGCAAAATGTTACTGCTCTTTTATAATTCTTCTATTATCTAATGCTAGGCAAATAGTTTTTTTTTCAATAAGTTTTTACCGTTTTTGAAGATCACGAGCAAGGGAGACGAACGGATTTTCAACAGCTTCGAGAGTCTTGAGGCTTGATTTGGCTTAAAAAAATAAAAAATTACAATTATCAACTATTCTTCTGTCCACAGCAATTTCTACATTGTATTATGTTAAACAGCAATTACGCAAGTACTTTTGGAGTAAATTATATATTAGATGTGTGTACATATGTTTTGCCATTTGGACATTTCGTTGTGTGAACGTAACAACTTATGATTGTCGATTATCAATAATACATCTGTTCGTTCAATTACATTTCCTTCGATTTTTTGCACGCAAAGCGACACAACAAACCTTGAAGAGAAAAGAAAGGAAATAAAGTGCAGAAATGCATTAAAACAAGCGGATTTTTTAATACAATTTAAAAATAAATCTTACAACTAAATATGTGTTTCAATTTTCTTAAATGTAGATTCGTCGACCACAACTAGCCGTCGATGAATATATATGCATTTGGTTATTTGTTACATTGCAACCCATAAGAAGTTTAAATTTGGACAGAAAGTATGCAGTTAATTAAAGTACGAAAAAGTAAATCAAATCTATTATTACCAATCAGGAGGTGTGCAGTTTTCGTTTATTTTCTAAATACATTTTTGAAGTTCATCGAAAAATAATAATAAATTTTTATTCAGTAAAAATATTTTAGCAAAGAGACAATCCATCGAACCAATACTTAGATAACTGGGTATTCAAATACTTAATTATTAGCGAATAGATACCGAACTAGATATTTAATTCCATTTGAAATACCCCATATAGCACCGAAAGATTGCAGAAACATTGCATACACCTTTCACTGCAACATTGTAACATTGCATGGAGGTTGCGAAATGTTTCAGCAACGTTGCTGCAAGCTTGAAGCAACATTGAAATGTCCTCCCTCAGATTACAATGTAACATTGCAACAATGACACGGTGCAATGTATTTGTAATATTGATTTTATTATGCGTTATTTACATAAATAATTCAGTCTCTCGTGAGATCTCGTGGTGTAAACATCGCTACCTGTCGCTCCTACTTGTGCGGTATCGTCTCTTTGTTCCATATATACGTATTATCGATTTAACTTGTAGTCTATTTCTTTTCTCTTATTATTAGAGCTATCCTAAGTAAGCTTCTGCTTACTGATATAGGCCTTTTAAGCCAAGTTTCTTAGATTTATATGTGTATCTACTGTTCATGAGAGGTGAGCGGCGGGTGGGATGGTTTAGTGCTGTATCGCGTCTGTGCTTCTAGTGGCGAGCGTGCGAGCGTGCTCAATTCGTATAAGTGTTATTATTAGGTGCTACTGCTATATACTTTTATTTATTGGCCCCAAATGGTCTAGTCTTATTTAATTGCTATGTAACACATAAATTATATTAAGTCAGTGGCAATCGTCTCGACGTCCGTTATTTGTCTTTCAAATCTGTAAGTCTGTATATGTTGTTAATAATATCCACACTAGGTCGATGCGTTATACCTATATTTATTTCTATTTATACTCTCTCTGCGATCTCTAAATAACTGATAATAACAATCTTGTCTTATTTTTATTTTTATTTTTATTTTTATTTTATTTTTATTTTAACTGACATGAACCAACCGAAGTGCTATATATGTAAGCGTTTTCTTTCTCGCACGCTTAAATGTACGCACTGCAAAAAAGACAATAGCGTTCCTCCTAGGGCATCTTCCCAGACTGATGCTTCAGCTACCGACTTGATGCCATCTCGATCTGCCTCTGTACCTCCGCTGGAGGACAGTGCTGCTCAGCTGTCTCCACAACATCTCTTATCGAATACAACCGATGCGCCGAACTCTATAAATGCTTCCTCAAACATCACGGCTACTCTCTCGGAGGTAAAAATGGCATTGACGACTCTAACTGATACCATTTCATCTCTTGACGCTAGAATTGCTGGAGTTGAGACTAGCCTAGGATCTATTGAGAGTATCAGTCTGAAATTGGAGGATCTTAATACTAGAATAGCCTGTATTGAGGGAGCTCTTCATCGACTATCTGATAATGAGAAGGCTGTTGAGAGACTGAAACGTGTCGCTGATGATCTGGCTACTCAACTCAACCTTGTGTCAACTCGACAGTGTGCTCAGGAGGAGCGCTGTGTACGACTTGAGGCAGCCTTGGCATCTTCTTCTCGGCCGACAGACGTCGCTTCGGCCATGCCTGCTGGTTCTTCTACCGGACTCTCTTCACAATCCAGGAGTATCGTAAGCGAACAGAGAAACAGGGAGCTCATTATATTTGGTATCCCGGACGTACAAAGTGAGAATTGTTCTGACACCATGTCTCGTATCTCAGTCTCGCTTGGAGCGACCCCGCAATTATCCTCCACCGAAATCATAACATCCTTTCGTATTCCGGGGCGTGACTCCTTGTCGTGTCCGCTCGTTGTGAGATTCTCTACTATAGCCAGACGCAATGAGCTTCTTGCTAGAGCGCGTAAACGGGTGAATCTTTCGGCGGCTGATGTCGATGACTCGTGGCCGTCCACCAGAGTTTCTCTATATGAGCGTGCGACTGCTTCTGAGCGTGCATTACTCGCTGAGGCTCGTGGTCTGGCTCGGAGTCACGGGGTCGGGCATGTATGGATGAGGGGGGGAATCACATATTTCCGACTTGCGGAGGGTTTGCCTTCTCATAGGTACGATTCGCCGGAGTCTATGCTTCGGGTTGTTAGAGATGCGACTTCTAACTGTGTGCTGCTGCCTGATGCGGCGGGCCCTGCATGACGACCCAGCGCTTCACGGTCGCCGATCTCCCGTCCCTCGCGTGAACCGAGGTTTCGCGTGGCCCATGTTAACGCCCGGTCGCTCGTCCCGCACTTCTCTTTAATCAAGGATCTTATAGCCTTGCACGAGCTGGATGTACTGGCGATCGGTGAGACATGGCTACGCGAGAGGATTGATTCTGGCTTGGTGGCCATTCCTGGCTATACGTTTATCCGTAGAGACCGTGCCTCTTGTTCGCGTGGGGGTGGAGTCGGCATATATGTAAATAGCTCATATGCCCTGTCTGAGGTGGATTTCGGGTTGTGCCCATCGGGCTCGTGCGTGGATATTGCGGCGGTCTCTCTTCGTCTTGGGTGTAAGCGAGTTGCGATTGTTTGTATTTATCGGCCACCTCGTTCTCCGGCATCTGATATTGGCTACATAGAATCATGTTTGTCCCATACTGCTACTGTTGT